CTTTTTTTAATACTGCAAACACTTTGTAGTGTATTTTCGTTTACTGTTGTGAAATGGAAAATCAATAATCGCTAATCGAGAATCGTTAATAATCGAAAATCGACTGTAATCGAATCGGGACTTCAATAATCGTAATCGAATCGAATCGGGAAATCAGACAGATTAACCACCCCTACTCAGACAGCGTGGCCATATAGCCAAATGTGTTCTCTTTCGCTGCTTATTGTGCTTCAACGGTTTAAAATCACTTGTTTTTAAACCGCAATGCTTGAAAACGCATGCAAATGATAAGCTTTCGTGACAGTGCAGCACAGCAACGTCACGTGAGCGTAACCACGATAGAGACAATAGTGCAAAGACTAGGGGTGGGCAAAAAAAAAACCTAGTGTTTTTAATAGACTTTAAAATGTACTCAACGTTTAATGAAACGTTTCAACGTTTATCTCTAAAATACCAAAATGTTGCTAAAATGAAATGTTAAAAATATATATTTATTTTTAGCAACATTTTTATAAATGACAAAAATAATTTTTTTCAGTTGGGCCATTGAAATTATTGGCCTAAAAACTTCTAACTACTTGTGAAACAATCTAACCGTTAAGCCCTGATATACCAGTTATTTGTGTTTTTGCTGCATAAAGTAATAAATGTAAAGTTTTAAAGCTTAAACTCATTCTCCCTTGTAGACCTGCTTACTGTGAGTGAGACTGCGAATGAGCCGCCTCAGGACGAGGGCAGTTCCCTCAATTCCCCCCGAAACCTGGCTATGGAGGCCACCTACATCAACCACAACTTCAGCCAGCAGTGTCTTAGAATGGTACGCTTGTCTTTCCACAGTAAACCGGCCATTAACATGATACATTAACATCCATATTCTGTTTCAGACAAAGACATTTGTATGAATGCATTTTTGTTGCTTTGGTGTCAGGGAGGAGAGAGGTACAAGTTCCCCAATTCTAACCCATTTGTTGAGGAGGACATGGAGAAGAGTGAGGTGGCATCTGTTGCCTACAGGTATGTCCAGACCTCTGCAAATAAAATAAGTGTGTGTGATATTATTATTATTATTATAATTTGTTTTGTTTTGTTTTGTTCAGACAGGTGAGGCAGCTATTTTTCCCAATTATTTTTTCTTTTCTTGTCTTTTTTTCTTTTTTTTTAATCTTATTTCCATATGTGGATTTACATATTTATACATGTGTATTATTTACATAATACATAAATCAGATTTGATTGAAAATGTATTTCATTCTGATCAGTAACATTGAATTGTTCTCCTAAAATTGACTCGTTCACTCTTTTTTGATACAGTATATACATGTTTTTTGAGTCTTAACATTTTTATTTAAAAAACAAATCATATTTGAGTGCTGTTTGAACAAAACCTAAGAATGAAGAATACATTTATTATAAGGGACATTACTAAATTTTCAGTTACTTGCTGAATTCAAAATAGTGACCTTCCCTGACCGATTCTTAGGTACCGGAGGTGGAAGCTGGGGGATGACATTGACCTCATGGTCCGCTGTGAGCATGATGGAGTGATGACCGGAGCAAACGGAGAAGTCTCTTTCATCAATGTCAAGACCCTGAATGAGTGGGACTCCCGAGTAAGAAACAAAAAGAGAGATGGATAATTGCATTTAGCCATTTCAGAGATACAGGTGATATAATTCTTTGCTCTGTACAGTACTGCAATGGAGTGGACTGGAGACAGAAACTGGATTCCCAGAGGGGAGCGGTTCTGGCCACAGAGCTGAAGAACAACAGCTACAAATTGGCCCGTTGGACCTGCTGTGCTATTCTTGCGGGATCCGAGTACCTCAAATTAGGGTGAGTACAATACCAACGTCTCTACATTTTTTGTTGTGTTATTTTGGTTTCTTATATTAAGTCTTTTCCTGTCTGATTTCTCACTACATGTCCTTTTCTCTTTAGGTACGTCTCCCGTTATCATGTTAAGGACTCGTCTAGGCACGTTGTCCTTGGCACACAGCAGTTCAAGCCCAATGAGTTTGCTAGCCAAATTAACCTGAGCATGGAGAATGCTTGGGGCATCCTGCGCTGTGTGATCGACATCTGTCGCAAGCTGGAGGAGGGCAAATACCTCATCCTCAAAGACCCGAATAAGGTAAAGTGAAAGATGTTGCATTGCAGAATCGAGATATTTGACATACTTAAGCACAGCAAGAAGCTCCAAATGTCTATCAAACTTTTTTTGTTATAAATAGGGCTGGGTATCGTAAAACAAAATTTTCGATACCGATACCATATTGATACCTTGACTTCGATACCGGTTCCTGAATGATACTTTTTTCTATACCAATTTTATGAAATCCGTTTGAACAATATTACATAACCTAAAAAAAACTTGTTGACATTTTTACACTCATATTTTGCGTCTGTAAAAAGCACCAATGCTAAAGTTTTCTGTTTCCTAATCATTTAACAACATGTATTCTTTACTTCAATGAGCTCATTGTTTCTGCCTTAACTTAATGCATTGTTTAACAATGAAACTGAATGAAAATTAATTTAAATGCGTTACACAGTCACCTCTGATAACAGATCACTCTAAATTGTAGTTTAGACACATGTATTTCTGTGAAGCTGCTTTGAAACGATATGTATTGTGAAAAATGCTATACAAATAAATGTGAATTGAATTAAATTAAATATAGGCTACTGGGGTGCGGGACATATGCCTTACGCTTAGCACACATATAGCTTGCCGCAAAGCACTGGCGAAAGTAGCCTAATGATTGTGGATGTGTCGGGAAAAAATAGCGAGGAGATATTTTAATTGTTTATTAATCAATCAAAGTGTTTTCTGAGTGTGTTGGCCGCAAAGACGAGATGCTGACTCGTCATTCCTGCAGTAGTGAACACGTGCACCAAATGGATTACATAATCAAACTATTTATTTCTAATTGTTTCGTTTAAAAGTAGACATATTTTGACCGTCTATAGGCCTATTTCTCATGTATGTGAGGCAAGTATCCTATACGCTGAGTTTCGGTTCATTTGTGACGCGCTCCAGTTCTTGCAGTCGAATACGGATACATTTTCTACTCTGAAGTGTATTCTGTGCACTTTTAAGTGCCTTATCAGATTTATCTTGTTGCCGGTCTTGGCAGCAATTATCTTGTCGAAAATATTGCATCGTGTGCTTCTGGCATTGAGTCTGGTACATTGGTACAGGTACACTTTTGATATTTTCCACATATTTTCACTTATCTGTCTGGGTTGGGACGCTTACACACACACACACACACACACACACACACACACACACACACACACACTACAACCTCGCGTGCGACGAGCCACGTCTCTGGGCAACCGTGTAAACTAGTGTTTTCCGCCACAGCCAATCATGCTGCATGCTTATTGTTTCACTGACGTTGACGAGATTAACCCCTTAGGTATCGAAATTTGGTACCGAAAAACAAGACATGTTTCGATACTCGATAGTATCGAGGCAATTCGGTCGGTACCTAAAAAGTATCGAACTCGATACTCAGCCCTAGTTATAAACGTATCTTGAGTAGAAATGAATTGTACTGTTTTACACACCTGCATGGTGTTAATTTTAGCTGTAATGCTGTGCGAGTAGGAATCACCTTGGCAACTTCAAAGTATTTCTTTGCCATAATCTACGTATATGCATAACTCTTTTTTGTGTTCCTTAACAGCAAGTAATTAGGGTGTACAGCCTGCCTGATGGAACCTTCAGCTCAGATGAAGACGAAGAGGAGGAGGATGAGGACGAGGAAGAAGATGAAGAGGGTGAGGATCACTTCAATATGTTTATCCATATTTTTTATCTGGTTACCTTTTGTTTCTTAAATATTTTTAAATTTCTTCCAACAGATGAAGACAATTAAGGCGTCATTAACTACCACAGCTGCCAGCATTATGTGTTTCAATGCTGTAAGAGCTGAATAAAGATAGTTGATTATTCATGTACTGTCTCTGTCTGTTTAAAAATGAGCATGCTCAGTTTAGGTTGCCTTTGCAAGTTTAATTATTATTATAGATTAGGGCAATACAAATGGCCTTTCTTTTAAGAATTGATTCTGAAAAATCTTGCTATTTAATCTTATTTGTTAAAACATGGTGCAAGGAATGCAGAGGCCATGGGTTAGATTCCCCGGGAATAACATACCTTGAAGTGCCTGTGAAGTGAAATGCATAAATATAAATGGTCTGTAAATGGTCTTTTCATTTTCTCTTTAATGGTTTGCAATTGACAAGTCATAAAAAAAAAAGCTATATTTATTGATAAGGGGGTATAAGAAATAGTAAAGGCATAGATTTTTAATTAGGTTTTCTTTAAAGAAAATAACAGTAATAGTTACAATTTAACTTATTATTTTAGTATATTTTAAAGTGTATTTTATTCCTGTGATGGCAAAGCTGAATTATCAGCATCATTACTCCAGTCTTCAGTGTCACATGACCCTTCAGAAATCATTCTATTATGATTTGCTGCTCAAGAAACATTTCTTATTATCGGTGTTGAAAACCGCTTAATATTTTTGTGAAAATTGTGATGCATTTTTATAGGATTCTTTGATGAATAGAAAGTTTGAAAGAACAGCATTTATTTAAAATATAAATATTCAAGGTTTAACTTTATTAAGATCACTTGGCAATCTGGATGTAGCGTAGTAGACATACATAATATACACACCACAATATAAAACGAGACAAATAAAAGAAATAAGAACACCCAACAGTACATATAAATTTAAAATACGAATATTTACACGTCAGAGTATGCTGTCATTTTAAATCTATTAAATGTCCTTACTAATAAAAGTATTAATTTCTTTAAAAAATAATCTAGTGTATAAACCAGTTTGGGGTGCATAGCCAATGGGGCTCTTCAGAAACCCTGATGGTTTGTTTGGAAGGTTTTAGCATTTGAATTACCATTAAATAGTGTTTGATTTCCACTGGGAGAAAAAAAAACAATTGTTCTGTTTCTTGTGTGACTAGTTTTGCTTTGTCTTGGTGTTCAAGTCCCAGATGAAGCGCAGTTTTCCATCCTTTCTTTGAAGATCTGGTCACACATCTCCTTTTGTGCCACAGTGAATGTGTTCTTCCAATCTCCAACAGTACCTGCAACGCAAAACAAATATAACAACAGCATAAGTGAAGGATACAGCTTGTTTACACATTCCACGATTGTGATCTTTGAACATTGACCTTTGTGCATGATTTGGGGCTTAAGTAATAGATCTTGTGGGATGAATTCATAGTTTGCCTTTGGGTCCTGCTTCATGTTTTTAAAAGTGGCCATCTCCACAATACGTGCGACAGCATTATCATCCAGATTTTTTCCCAAGAACATGCCGAATTTCTCCACTGCTGTCCTGAACGTGGAGCCAAATGCATCAGTATCAAAATAAATCTTTAACAATCTGTATTAAAGAGCATTTTGCAAATACTGAGATATTTTGAGGCTGTGATTACCATGACCATGTCCTCATGTGTCAGGAAAAGGATGTTGTACTGCCCTCTCTCGGATGCGATTAAACCAAGATAAACTGCCAGCTAAAACACGAGGTAAGAATTGATACTTTTACACCTTACACACCCTTTGTGTCACATTAGGATCGATGAGGCAGAAGCCTGAACTTTAGGAATACCAAGCCAATGTCCAAACATTTTTTTTAAAACATACTCTGATGTGCTGTTAGTCTAACTGTTTCCTGTTGGATACTGCTGGTGAAAGTCTTCAAAGCTCTTGGGAGTATCAACTTTGTCCCAGATGTGGGAAAAGAGGAAATATGACCACATTGTCTTTTAAATTTCTAATCACATATGATCTGTCATTTAAAAGACATGAGGAGCAATGATGCTTAGACCAAACAAAAACTTTTCTAACATTTGATTATATAACCAAACATGTGGCTTACACAAACACAGGAATAGCCAGGTTCACGGTACTCTAACCACGGCATCTTCTCAAGATTGTTGGGACATTTTTTTGTCTGTTGTGTCCTCACAAATTAATGTTATGATGTTCTGTGTCCAAATTGTAAGCCTACCTGCAAAAAAAATGGTTCTGTATGTAAACAACCAAATAATTCACACACACATATCTTTATGGTTAGCAGCAAATTCAGCAGACGGGGACCAGTTGTCATGCAAGTTCCAGGAGTTTGTCTCGTGCAATAGTAAAAGTTTTATCTATTTTATAAAAAAAAAAAAAAGTCATAATGCGTTGTCATTAGAAAGGGGGAGAACAAAGGTAATTACAAAAGTGGTGATAGAACATGTTAGTTCTTAAACTTAACAGCATAAATGTTCAATAATAAATGTTCAGTAACAACAGGCTTGGTCTTAGTTTGTACTTTGGATATGACAGTAAAAGAGGTTGTAAACAGCCTGATCAGAACTGACGCAGTATTGCGCTGACAATGTACAGAGAAAATAACATTTAGATAAGAGGACAGATGAAATATGTCACTGTCCAATCGAATTCTGCTGAGACGTAGGCTACCTAACAGTAATCAGGAAATAACGATTTATTTTATTTTATAGAGAGCAGCAATTTGACTGAACAGACTGGACGAGAATGGATCAGATAGAAGTATCACACAGTCATGGTCAGTAAACTCTAGATGTACAAGTTCGTGCATAGTAATGAGTTAAATATGGTTTCGTTGTAAGAGTATCCACAGGAAAAAACATAAATTACCATGTTTTGTTCAATGTAGCTATTTTTTATTTTTATTTTTTATAGTGCCTATAATGTCTTAGAAAGTAGACTTTAACGGTCACAGATATACTAGTTAGACTACTGATCTTACCAATTTGACTACATTTTCTTACGGGATTGTTTAGAGATAATAGTAAATTTAAGACATGTATTCGTCAAATTCAGATTCTGTCATGTTGATTTTCAGTGACAGCTAGCAGTACAGTAACACTGTAATAATAGTCAAAAAGATTGGTCTTACTGCTATCAAATTTACCTAACAGCTTTGAAGTCAGTCGTGGCAGTGAAATAAGGCCAAAGTTACATTCATCAGATGTTTGGTCAACAGAGGTAGACCTATAGTATGTCATATTTGTAACACTTAATGAAATAGACCTCTAAACCTCCAAATCGATAAGTCATGCACCAAATAAAAACTTAATGAAGCAATTAGTGTCTGTCTTCAGACCTGGTGTGTGCTCATTATACAATATTATTATCGAGGGAGCAATAATGTCAATAGCCAGCAGCAGCTGATATTCACAGAGCCTTTTTATTACTGTCTTTATTGCTGATTAAAACCAAACAACACAAAAAGTAATGTAACTTACACAGTATGGTAAATGAAACCACTCATATGGGAGGTGGGAGAAGATTATTTATGCATACTATTTCCTAAAATAGCTACAGTGGCTTTAATATTACATTTATTTCAGCTTTCCCCTCATACAGTATACAGTCAGCTAGTCATTATTGTAAAATAAACCCGACAACAAATATAAATATGTGGGAATTAAATATTGATTTGAGGTAAAATTATTTTATAATTTTACCTGGTATACTATCTTAAGGGAAAAAAGGTTAAGAAAAAATAGCCCATTGCAATATACTAAATCGTCCTTGTAACAAGACAAACACTATATTATAATAATATTAATACTGAAATCCTCATCACAATCAATAATAAAGATGCAAGATGGCATCAGTTGGATTTGTATGAAATGAGAGAGCGAGTTAGCAATGTGATATGAGAGACATCGAATAGCGCCAGTTTCAGTTATACCCAAATGATCATGTTGCAAGGACAATAGGGATATTAGGACATATCTGACCTTTGAATGAACTGTAATCAAGTATTCTACACTCAAAAGATGTATGTATTTGAATTACATATTAAAATGTCCATCTATGTGTATAGCAGTTTCAACATAAACAAACTAATAAACTGAATGTAGTGCATATTTACCAGTCATACATAAATGAAACGTGGGACTGGTCAGATTTCTGTAATAATACTAATAAACTGAATGGGTTTTAAATACACAGTAGCCAGGTTTATATTTATCATCAATAAATCCAATTTGTTTCAATCTCATACATTTAATTGAACATTGCTTGTTTTCACATATTAGCCATACTTCTCATACTTTTTAGTTGTAAATTCATATTTTATTTTCAAAATGAACAGATGTATGTTGATTCTAAGCAATTTGATTAAATTAATAAATACAAATAAGGTTATTTAAATAAAATCAGATAGATGAAAATAGTTGATTTTTTTGAGTGAATCTTATGTGTCTTACCTATTTCGTTACAATTGACAAATATGCATCACTTTAGTTTATTAGTTTATGTTAAAACTGTAATCCAAATGGATAGAATTTTTATATGCAATCAAGTACATACATATTAAATTTAGGTCTAGAGTGGTGTAAAAAAAAAAATCAATTGGCCTGTTTTTTTTTTTTTTGCTCTGACAATAATTTTTTGTTATGTCTATATCTTTCTTTTTTCCACAGAAGAAGGGATTAATTTATCTTACTCTCCCAAACTGAGATTGGTCCTGGTTGGAGTGACAGAAGCTGGGAAAAGTGCTGTTGGTAATGCCATTCTGGGCAAGAAAGCCTTTGATGAGGTTGGGGTAAAGACTCGAGTGAGTTTCCCATGTCAGGGTCTGGTGAGAGGACAGCAGGTGCTTGTTGTTGACACTCCGGGGTGGGAATGGTTCAACGTCAATGGCTCCTCTGCATCAGTATGGACGGTGAAGAAGGAGATAATGAGGAGTATGAGTCTGTGCCAGCCTGGTGCCCATGCCCTGCTGCTGGTGGTACCACTGTCATTCTCGTTCTCCCAGCGTGAGTGCCATGCCGTGGAGGAACACGTTGAGCTGTTTGGTCCAGAAGCCTGGAGTTGCAGTTTGGTGCTCTTCACAGTCTTAGACAGAAAACAGTTACGTGGTTCCACCCTAAAGCAAGAAGTGAAGTTGAACGTGGAGCTAAACAGGCTGGTTGAGAAATGTGGAGGCCGTTTTCATGCTCTGTACAGCAATCCCACAGAAGGCGAGAACCAGGTGGATGAACTTCTGGCCAAGATCACGAAAATGATGGCTACCAATGGAAGGACTATGCTCTACAGTGAGAAGGTATTGGAACAGGCCAGAGAAATGGAGAAAGAAGAGGAGAGAAGATTGGAGGAAGAGCGAAAGAAGAGGGAAGAGAACATAGAGAAAGTGAGAGAGGCATTGAAGGCAAAGGAGTTAAGAAGGTCGAGAAGGAGAACAGACCAACATATATTGGACGGTAAAGTACTGAACACAAGTAATATGAGAATAAAAACCTCAAATATGTCTATATTTTATTATTTATACTTTTATATTTTAGCTTGATAATGACATTTTTTAGATAATTCATAGTTCAATGCTTTCAAAAAAATACAGATAGATAGATCTGTTAACTAGTGTGTGCTGCTAGAAAACGCCAGTGGTTGATTTTGTTTAGATTAGTTCGGAATAATTTTCGTTTGGCGAAGCAAAAACAGACGAAGTAACTGAATATTACATAAAATGTGAGTATACAAAAACATTCATTTGTGTTATAACAAGTTTATGAAACTTACTGATTAACTGCGGCTTCATGACTACAGCCAAATCACGAACAGCAGCACTCTTGCTCGTGTCAAAGTCAATACGCTGAGGATGTTTTTCTTGTTTTCTACAGATGAGGAACAGAAAGCCTCAACTAGATACAATCATAACAATGACCTGCCTATCAGTGGCAGAAGTAACTTTCTTCAGAGCTGCAAACAACAATGAACAATGAAAAGGACCCCAGGATAAAACAGTCATATCCACCCCTGCAACTTCCACAACTCACCACCAGAAGCCAGGCCATCATCATTTCTCATCTGTAGTACCTGATCCAGACACTACAGAGTTAACCTGTAACATCCAAAGCAACTTACAAATGAGGAACACAAACATGCTTAGGCACTTTATTTACATAATTATTGTTAATGATTTACAATATCAAAGCTCATAATACATTGTTGTAATGTTTTGCATTCAAACATTTCCTTTTAAACAAAATGCTCTGTCATGGTAACAAAAGAATATAGGCCTATCATGACATTTTTAACAATTTAAAAGTGTACAAATAGTATGACTTCCACAATGTTCTGCTCTGCTTTTACCAGTTTTGGGGTTTCAATTTTAAATTGAAAAATAAATTAAAATTGTAAAATTGTGTGGTGCTAAATTAAACCAGGGGTTTTCTGTGACATTTTAGAAGTGAAACTGTTTGTCATTAAAATTTATTTAAATTTCCTTTAATATGTAAAAGTTGTTCTTTTCATGCTTGTCTTTGACAAAATGCTTTGGCCAGAATTACTGTAAAAATGCTAAAAGTGCTACATTCGTTTTCAATCCTCTGCTACAATCAGTCTGCATCTTTCAGAATTTCCTTTTATGCTTATACACTCATTTTATTATATCACTTGATCTGTCAGTGTTTAACTGAAGCACTCGAAACTCTCACACCCTAAGAGCAAATAACACGTGTGATAAACAGCAGATACATTCACGGTGATACAAATAAGGTGTAACCAGACCACTTATCCATAATAAAAACAGTCCATTATGATTGACAGATAAGACACACACATAAGTGCAATTACCTTTTTTAATAAACAGTGTGTAAATCATATGTACACGTAAAGTTTTCAGCTCAGACTTCCACCAGTATGCAAGGATTTTTAACTCCCAAAACATTCATTCAAAACATTCATTTGTGCTATATATCAAGAAGATATCAGTAATGCTGTTATTTTGCAAACATTAATTATTACCAAACCAGAAAGACTGAAATAAAACTGTAGGTGCTAAGTTGATCAATTAGTGTTCGAGGACAGCAGGTCTAACTGTTGGTCTAAATTGATGCTCATCTCAGCTCTTCTCAATCTTGAAACATTCTTTTTAAAGCTTTTTAAGGAAGAAAACGTTGCTCCAACACTTCCTGACTCTTTCTAAACCTCCAAATTCCTATGCATAAGGAATCATGGATCTGCTGCCAGGCCTCCAGTTCAGATTTCCATAGAGCTGCTCTGGAGCGGATAAGCAGAGAGGCCTCGCTCTTGCTCCCTTTGGCCAGACTTATACTGTCTTTGCAAATAAAAATGACATCTAACCCAATAAAGAGGGCATTTAGAGTGATGAATCCAGCTCTAGCAGACTTTGAGAGAGCTAGTGGGGTCCCTTTTGCCAGCTGGCCAATGTCGGGAAGGTCTGCTGCCAGTTGGGGAATGCTACGAGCACTTTGTGCTTCCTGGAGCCCGACCTTTGTTGCAGTCGCAATCACCTCGTCAGTTTTGAGTACTTTAACAGCTGAAGCTGCATCTACCAGAACATCAATACCTTTGCCCACACCTCCTGCACAAGCTATCAACTTTCCTGCTTTAAACATATCCACAACATTGGGTTCCTCTATATGCTCCTCACTACAGGCCTGCTCGAGACAGTCTAAAATCTTCCCCACATCATCCATGTATCTCTGAAAAATGTTCTGTGCATTTTTCCCATGGTGACAGTTGACTGCTGCTTCAGTGATGCCTGTGACTAAGCTATTGACCCCACTGGTCACCCCCAGACCGACACCTGTCAGAGTGAGAGCCAATGACACTCCTGCAGTGACAGGGACAAGAGCAAGACCAACAATGGACAAAATACCCCCTGCTATCCCAACCGAACTTCCAGCCACAGTGGAGATACTGGCCCCCATCTTCATCTTGTCCAGCTGAACTGCATTCTCCTCCAGGTCTGACAGGAACTTCTCCATTCTAGAGCGACACTTACTGAATAAACCAATGAAGTGCAGAGCGTGGTCCTGAAAAATGAAGGTCAGCTTTGTGTTCTGGTCCATCCTAGACATTAATAGAAAAAAATACAGTTTACAGCCACATTTCACACTGCACCAGAGTGTGAAGAAAACATCGGATCATAAAAACAGGTCTCACCTTATTTTGCACAACTGCTTCAAATGATCAAGCATTTTTTGCATGGAGTCCTCACTTAAGTTCAAGCTGAACTTCACAGGTTGAGCCTTCTCATATCTGTCAAGAGTTTAAGTAGGATTAAGAAAGACTATATTTTAGAGATTATCAAAAAAGCAAATAATCTTTGAATTCAGGTTGAACGATTCCACCCAGTTTGGCCTATAGGTTATGATGAATAATGAAGATGTTTAAATCTTACCTCATTATTACCCCAATATTTATAATACTTACCTATAAGTATCTTCAGTCCACAAAAAACTCTTGGATCTGTGAGGGGTGAAAATGCCATTGAGATTATTGTGATAATCTGTGTGTTTTAACATGTTTATCAAATTACTATCCTTTTAAATGAACATTGCATGAATGCCAGTACTAACTTTTTCTCCATTCTCTCGCAGATCTTTTCTGTGATACGTATGTATTTGTCTAATTGAAAGGCTAGGACGTCCACGTTACTGAGTGAAGGAAGGAAGAAGGTTTCTGCATTTCGTTTAAAGTGGATAAGGAGAGGAGAGGCCATTCTGGCAGCTGTGATGACTGATCGCACACTTTCAGGACTCTCACCCTTTGGCAAGAAGCTCCGTCCAGTGAAGACAAATAGTGAGGTGACTGTGAGCTTCTCCACTGCATCCAGGAAGTGGTCAAGTTTCTCCAAACCCTCAAGTGTGTCCTTCAGGACAGCACCCAGTTCCTTCTCCAGCTCCTGGAGTCTGGAGTCAGCCGTTACCTGAGTTAAACCACTCCACAGGTACTCCCCAAAAGCCTTGGCTTTGTTCTCGGAGCGCTGAACATGGTCAAACTTAAGACTGACTTTATCTGCTTGGTCCTTGATGTCTCTCATCTTCTCCAGCTCTGTCTCTCTCTGAAGGGTCCATTTTTGTTGTTTGTCACAGAAGTCCCTCACTGTCTGAATGTAGTTGAGTGTGTCCACTACATACTCCGACAGGAGCTCCTGTAATTGTTCCCTGTGTCAAAACAGAGCAATTTACATAGTAACGATGATATTTCCTATCTAAATAAATATGTGATTAATGCATTTCAAAATAATTTAATCAACAGTTTAAACTACTTAGTAGGTAGTTTCTGAGCAGGCAGAGCAGATTTTCAGAGAAATGTTTTTCCAGCCATTCAGAAGAGCTATTCTTGGTTGGTGTAGTTCATATTGAGATCTAAGTTAAGTTGTTGACTACAGTTTGTTGTGGTGTGTTTAAATTTTTAAACTAACTCTAAAAATCGCTGGGTTAAAAACAAATCAATTTGGCAACCCAACACTGGGTAAAATATTGGACACAACACATGGGTTACACATTTTAACCCAATGTCAGCTCATTAGACTAAATTTTTGACCCCATAAATGGTTATTATTTCCATCTTTTTTGTATCAAATGTTAGGCTAAATATATTTATTTAATTTATATAAATAATTTTTATAAATAGGCTAATATATTGATACAATTTATTGAAGTCTATTTTGGAAATGAATGGAGATTACACAAATAGTCTATATAAAATAAATTTATTCGATGGAAAGTAACAACATAAAACATTTAGGAAGTGGCAGGAGCAGTAGACTCAGTGGCTGGCATTTGTGGGAAGAAGAAAACTGGTATCAGTACGTGAATTGTATATTCTAGTTTAACAGATGACAATATATTGTGTTTGCTATATTAAAGAAGATTAACGAGTTCCTTTGCCCATAAAATCTTTAAGATATTAGATTAAACTTATTTGGCTTGCTGTCCACTGGAGAGGGGCTCGATGAAGCAGCTTCAACTCGAGCTCTGATATATAAAAGGGCGAGGTACCAAAGATGAAGGTGGAGTTTGGGGATGTGGAGGGATACTGGAACAGCTGATGCTAGAGTGAGGTAAGCGGCTGCTTATATACTCAGGCTGTTGATTGAAAGATTAGATTGGCTCACTCCTCCCTAACTTACGTTTAGGAACTTCATAAAATGCTTTCTGTCTCCTTTGTCAGATTTAAGCCTCACCTTCCGTCAAACACTCCCATTATATTCAACAATTTAAGTATGGCAGTGGTATCCAATAGCGTCTGGCTGCAGACTTGCACTTGCACTATCAGACTTGCACTCTCAGTCACCTGCGCTTCCTCTGCAAGTGACGTCACTTACTATATAGTTAGGGTAGGATTAGGATTTGGTTTAGGGTTAGTTGCATGTAAATATGGATAATTTACTGTTATTGCAATGGTAAGTACATGTCTGAGAGCGATCCGGTTTAATCCAGTTTGGCAAACCAGCAGTGGGTTAGCTATAACCCAGCAGGCTGGGGGTAGTTTGTGAGGAGGAGCATCGTTTCTACTGTGAGTGAAACTTAACCCAGCAGTTATACAACAATGTGAAAATAACCCAACAGGCAGAACACAGAATTCTAGGTAAAAACAACAACAACAACCCAGCACATTTTAGAGTGCTGCACAACCAGGTTATGGAACTCTGTATTAAGAGCTTAATAAGAACATTAAATTCCCGCACCCAAACAAAACTGATGGAAAGATACAAAATTGCCAACTTGTTTTTCTGCATTCTCGGCTGTTGTTTTGTGATAGGCTATCTCATCTGAAGATAATTGTTTTTGATTACTAAACCCTCCACAAACTGTTTATAGCCTAATGTTCTTAATTCACGTTGAAAATAGAATTTAAAGTTGCTGTCTTTTTTCTGTTTGATTACATACTGACATGACTTTTTATTTTGGACGTAACTTTGTGTAATTATAAATTAAGGAAAAAAGCTGATACAAAACGATAACAAATAGCCTACTAAATGTACCCACCTGGTGCCCATTGTAGCCTATTTCAGAGTAGTCTACTGATGCTGATGGTAAGCTTTGGTGATGAAACTTGTCCAACTGAGTTGAGAAAGCAAGAGGGAAATCTTTTGTTTTCGCTCCGGACGGAGGTTTAAGTTTCGCTTTCCTTTCTCAGTTTTCTTTGCTCCGCCCCTCAGCACAGAGGTTCAAGGGTTCAAAAGAATTGTGCGTTAATAACCGGTCAAATGCAATCTCAACAGTAACTGTGCGTTCACACCGGACGCGAATAGCGCGTCAAATTCGCGTCTACCGCGTCTAGTTTGACGCTTGACCACTTTGTGTTAATTCGCGTGTCAATGGCGAATTCGCGTCAAACGCGTGAATGCACAAATAGCACTAACTAAATCATTCGCGCGTAACGCGCTTAACGCGCCAGACGCTCAATTCGCGCGAACTTGACGCGCGAATGAGGCGTATTCGCGTCTACCGCGCCGCGCTCTACGCCTCATTCGCGCCGCAG